GAGGAGGAAATGCACGAGCGGCTGGACGAGGCTGCCGCACGCGAGGAGGAACTGCGCGAGCGGCTGGACGAGGCTGCCGCACGCGAGGAGGAACTGCACGAGCGGCTGGACGAGGCTGCCGCACGCGAGCGTGCGCTGGAGTCTAAGCTGAGCGAGCTTGGCGAGGCCGCGGACGCCCTGCAGCGTGCGCTGGACGGCAACGCGCTGGCTGTGGCGGGGGAGGAGGACGCGACGGCGGTTGGGGACCGCGTGGTGGGGGCGCTGAAGCGCCTGCGTGCGGACTCGGACGCGGCGTCCGCGACGATGCGTGGCGCGAGGCTGCTGGAAGGCGCCGACGCCGAGCCTCTTCTGTCGCAGTGCCGCCAGATGGCGAGCGAAATGGAGGCGCTCCGTGCGAGCGAGCAGCGCTTTCTAGTCATGCTAAAGGAGCAGTCTGTAGTTTCTGTGGGGTTGCGGTTTAGGTTGGAGGAGATGGAAGAGCGTGTGGCTCTCTTGTTGGAGTCTTTTGGACTTCCTTTTAGGGTGCTAAGGCGTCTGACGTCTGCGTTGAGTGCAGTGATTGCTATTTGTGCGTTGCTGAATTGTGACGAGCAGAGCATTTATTGTTACGTGGAGGAGGTGTTGGAGTCGCGTGATTACTACGCTAGGCTGTGCGGCAATGATGGTTCTTTGTTGGCGTCTCATGAGGAGGATGTGACTCGTTCAGAGTGTGTGCTTGTGATGAAGCGGGCCATTAAGCGATTGGTGCCTGAGCTTTTGGATGATCCTGTGCTGCGGTTTCCTGCAAAGCTGCAACGAGCTGTGGAGGAAACGGTGCTGGAGATCTTGCGCTTACGTGAATCTCTTGAGGAGTCGACCGATGCCGGAGCGCGCGTTGAAGGTGAGTTGGGAACTATCCTAGCGGCCTGTGGGAAAGCCCTTTGTGTGTTGCGAGGTGAAGCCGCTCCTGTGGACGCTGGCGAAGGTGCGGAGGCGCCGCGGCCGAGCGTTTCATACCTTGCGCGGTCGCTTGTGTCTCAGGCCGGGGACACGGCAGGCAGTCTGCGCGAGCTGAGAGAGGTGTGCGTGGAGTGCGGCGGTATTCTGGCGCATGCCCGCCAGCGCGAAGGTGAGAAGGACATTTTGACGTCAGAGTATTCGTTGACATCTGCGGCGTCTGCCGCGACGGACGTGCTGCTTCTTTCGGGCCACTGCAGGGAGGTCGTGGCGGAGCTCCTCGCACTGCGCGAGAAGCTGCGCTCCAGCCTTGCCACAGTGGCAAGGAGCGTGGGGGACAATAACGTACTGCTGGCCACCGTGCGGAGCTGCTTGAGGGCGCTATCGTTTGCGCTTGACAACGCCGCCTCGGAGGCGCCCCCGTGCGAGGAGTACGGCGTCGACGCTGAAGCTGTGGAGGGCGTTTGTGAAGGATTGCGGTCGTGCACGCACGCGGTCGCACTTCGCCTGCGCGAAGCGGAGCATGACGCCTCGGCGTCGGCGCAGGTGCTGCAGGAGGCGCTCGTGCCCGAGGAGGATCGGCGTCGTGGGGAGAGCGAGGGCCTCTTGATGCTTGCGAGCGCCGCGGCCCGTGCGCTGGAGGCACGTCGCGTGGAGGTTGAAAGTGTGGGAACTGCCTTCGAGCAGGCGCGGCGTCTCGCGGAAGAATATCGACGCTGCATGCACGCCAATTCGGCAGAAGCTGAGGCTGCTATGACGGCGCAGGTGCAGACGCGCGCCGCGCTGGAATCCCAACTGAATGAGGCGACGGAGCGGCAGGTGCAAGCCACGGCCAAAACGGCCAAACTTCTTCGCGACATGTCGGAGTTTGTCGGAAGTGTGGCGGCCATTATGTTGTACGACGGCGACGCCGTGGATGAGGAGGAAGAGGAGGCGCGAGCGGGGCACGACAGGGAGGATGAGGCCCCACACCTGGTGAGTAGAGTCCGTCTTGACGGTCTCCTAGAGCACTGCTCCGCCGTCATGCGGGCGTTGGAGGCGGCGAAGGCAAAGGCCAAGCTGCTCTCATCGGAAGCCGATGACTTGCGTGGAAGGCTGAGCGAAAGCGAAAACGCGTTGCGTGAGCTGGAGTATCAGTCACGCAACGCAGAAACAAAGTCGGCTGCGCAAGCTGCCGAGATGAGGGGAGAGATGGAGTTCCTCCGCGACGCGCTGCAGGCAAAGGTGACGGAGTGTGAGAAGGTGCAGCAGCATGCGCAGTATACAGAGCGGCGTGTGAACACCCTACAGGCGGAGATGGCGAACGCCGATAGGTCGTACGGTAGCGAGCGCGACAGTTTATCAAAGGTGCAGTCCTCACTGCTTGCAGAGAAAGAGGAGACGCGGCGACAGCTGGAGCAGCTGCGGCTGGAGCAAAAAGAGGTTCAGAAATTCTTGCATAAATGCCATGCGACATCACTCGATGAAGAGGCAGCGAAAATGGCGGCTCTCGCAGGCGATGTTGCGTTAATTCCTCTCGTCCTTGAGGAGGCGGAACACCGGATGCAGTTGCTGCAGAACTGGCTGCTGAGCCACCCGATGCACGCAGTCCCATTGCTGGCCATTTGCACCCGTGTGGGCAATGTGCTTTCTGCGACCGACTTTGAGGATATACCCACGCGCGTGGCAGAGGTGCTGAAGAGAGAGCAGGAGTTCGGCAGACTACTTGGGGCTCCGGCAAAGACGCCCGGACCAACGCGCGCCGCTGTCCTTAAAACGCTTATGGAGTGGGCGGAAAAGTTTGGTCTCGAGACGGAGCTGCAGGCGGAGACGTTTCTCGCGGACTTGGACGCCGCTCTTTCCGAGTTGTATTTCGACTATGCGTCTCTCAGGAAGAAAAAGGCGGCGCTTCAGGGCGAGCTTGATCACGCTCATTCCACATTGGCGGTAAGTGGAAGGCAGGTGGAGCAGATTGCCTCTCTGCTACGAGCTTCGCATCAGACGGAAGGGCCGCTGTCGCAGCTGACAGCGGCAGCGGCAGCAGAGGCGACAGCACCGTCGTTCACGCTTCAAACTGGATTTGCAGCATTGCGTGCTGAGGCGGAGTGGGCTGCCGAAAGGATTGCTGGCCACGCTGAGCAGACGCGAAAGGTGCTGGATGTGTTTGCCCCTGTGTACAGCGGCTGCAGCGTGTTGGAGGCATCCATGCGTACGGTGGAAGAGCTGAGAGAGCGGCGTGCGACGGAAGAAGGGCTTCGGGCGGAGTTGGCGACAGAGCGAGCGAAGGTGGAGTCGTGCCGTGGCTGCATTGAAACGAGTAAGAGTTACCTGCCAGAGCCCCTGATCCCTTTCATCGAAGGAGATGATCTGCAACGGCGCTGTGCTTTCGCTGCTGCGGAGCTGCGACGCCTGACCGGCACATTCGCCAGCTCCCAGCAGCTCATTGCATCGGCGGGACAAGATGCCCACGGCGGCGATCTTTGCATGAACCTTGATGACCTCCTGCGGAAGCTGCGCCAGCTGGAAGCGGGGGCGAAGGTGCTTGAGGCGAGTTGTGAGAGGCAGCAGCAGAGGGCGCTGCAGCTGGAGACGACGCTGCGGGACACGGAGGAGCGGACGGAGGCGACAATGGCGGCTCAGGAGGACACCGCACGGAAGGCAGTAATGCAGGAAAAAGCGAAGCAGAATGAGCTGCAGGCGCAGCTCGCGGAGTCCATGCAAGAATGCGATCAACTGCGTGCGGTGATCGCTGCGTGCGGCAGTGCCATGGGCTGCAGCCTCGAGGCCGGGTCCGGCAATTGCACCATCACCAGTGCAGCTAATAACGACGAGAGAGAGGAGGCGAAGGTGGTGCGGGCCGCAAAGGTCCTCGCCGCCACCCACGACGCCCACACGAGGGAGCTGGAAGAGCTAAAGGAGCAATTAGCGTCCTCGCGGAAGGCGCTCGCCGCGGAAAAGGATCTTCGTGCACTTGCGCAGGAGGAACAGTGCCGCCTCATGGACGAAGTAGAACGGCTACGTGCTGAACTACTTCGGGTCACGGCGTCCGACGAAGAACATCAAGCCGCGCTTTTGCATCTCACAGAGAGAGCGGAAGGCGTTGCCTCGAGGCCGTCGCCTGACCACAGTGCATCTGCGTTTTCAGTGTCGTCGCCTCTTAGCAGGCGAGCCTCCCTCGCCGGTCAGCGTTTGTTAGACTTCTGCAGCGTTTGTGGGGAACAGCGGCGCACGCTTGAGGGGGAGGTTAATGCGTTGAAGGAGCGTGGCGTGGAGCACCAACGCGCGATGGACGCGGTGGTTCGCCGCCTTCGTGAGGCTCTGCAGCTCACGGGGGAAACTCACCCTGGCGACGCCATACTACTCGGTGAACTCCTGCGGGAGAAGTTATCGGAAGCGCTGGAAGACAAGAAGAGCCTTACAGGTATCACCGAGGCGCTACGAGAGGAAAACGCCACACTTAAAGGCGCCTGCACCTCCACTGAAGCCCAGCTGCAGGAGGCAGCGACGTCGTTGGCGCAGCTGGACTTGCGGAGGCGGGCATTGGAGGAGGACTTGGGCGTTCTCACTGCCTTTGCCGGGAGCGTCGCACAGGCGATGGGTGAGCCGCTGCCGAGCGGTCCGGCCGACGTGGAACGTCTGAAGGGTGTCTGCGTAGCCCGCCAAGCGGCTCTGCAGGAAAATTCCGCGGAGATGCTGCGGATGCGTGAGGAACTCAACGCCGCCACCAGCACCTCTGCTGAGTTAAAGGTGATAATTGATGTGAATGCGGCAGAAGCGCAACAACGAACGGAGCGCCTGCGTGCTGTGGAGCAGGAGCGCGACGAGCTGTTAAAGGCCTCGGAGCAGCTTGTTGGGCGCGTGCAGAGCATACTGGATGATCACCTGGAGGTGCAGCGTGAGTTGAAGTTTCCCGACGATAGCGACGATGTAACTATAGCGGATATCGTGCAACTCTGCGTGGAGCGCTTGGAGCAACATCGTATTGGGGCGGCAATGTCATGCGATCAGCTCGCGGCGCTTCAGCGCGAAAACGCCGAGCTGAGGAGGGAGCTCCAACGTCTCGAAGGCGATGCGGCAGTGACGGCAGACGAAATTGCGGAGCTGCACGAGCAGCTGCGTCTGCTGCTCGATACAAAACAGCTGGCAAAGGCGGATCAGTCCAAGCTAAGGGCCGAGTACGACAGTCTCTCGCGTCAGGTCCAGGCCCTTTTCACGGACGCGTTGCGCATGGCGGCTGATGACATGCAGCTGCAGCTGCCGTTATTCTCCGACACGAGTGTCTCCGGTGCGTTGCAAGGGCTCCGCTCGCTGCTTGATTACATCGCGGAAAGGTTCCGCTCTGGTGCCAGCCACAGCGAGGATGCCGAGGATAAGGTGGAATCGCTAGAGCAGCTTCTACAGGTGCAGGAACGGCAACACGCCCAGGAAGCCAGGAGCCTGTACCGAAGCTTCCGCGACCACGTGGCGGCTTACACCACTCCCCACGACGCACGAGGCGAGGACGATGCTGCCGATGATGACCGCAGCAGCAGCAGCAGCAGCAGCGACAAGGCACGTCGCCTTTTGCCAGGGTATCTCGTTGTGGCTGGGAACTCGCTTCATCGCGTTCACACCGAGGTACGGCATGTGGGACTGCTCTGTCGTCGCCTGCTGGGAATCCCAGCGGAGCCGCCGGGGCAGTTGCGTGGAATGTCGTTGTTGGCGTCAACCGCATGGCTTGGGGAGGCCGCCAGTGAGATAGTGGGGCGGGCAGAGTTGCTGCACAACGCCATTCGAGCCGTTTCCCAAGTGGTGGAGATATCCCCCATCGACCTCGCCTCCCCCGAGCAACAGGTGACGGACTGGGTGGAGAGCTTTGGTCTCTGGCTGGAGCGTGCGCAGCGTGGACTTGACGCCACCGACCGCCTACTGGAGGCGCTGACAAGTGTCGTCCATAGCCACGGCGGCGTCGTGGAGGAGGTGTTGAGCGCGAATGGCACCGCGATGAGTTGTACTAATAACAGTAACACGACTTATCCTCAGCCCCCCATCGTGGATGCGTCGCTGCAAGACTTGAACAACAGCCGCACGGATGTGTCGCTCTCCCGGTACGTTACGCACCCACATCACCGTGCGGTGTTCAACGCAGTGCAAGAGCTTCTCTCACAGTTGGAGAGTCGTGGGCGTGTCTTGACATCCGAGTGGCAGGCGCTCATGGACCAAAACAACCGTCTTATTCATGAACGTCGCCAGACGGAGGAAGATCAGCTGCAGGTGCAAGCTCACGTTCAGGAGCTCCGCCGTGTCGTGCAGCGCAAGATTGAGGAGGACCGTCGAGTGGAGAAGAGTCTGCAAGAGTTGGATAGGCATCTTGACATGCAGGCAAGGGAGCTGGCAATGAAGTATAGGTCTGACCATGACCTTATAGTGCGACAATTTACCGAGCTCCGTGGCACGATACGACGCACAATCAAACCGCAGCGATCGCATTCAACAACCTCGACGGCATTTGGTTCGGTAAGCCACTGAACTCTTTGATGATGAGGAACGGCAGGGAAGAATGCAGTTATACCAATAAGCACATCCTCCGTCTTTTTTGCCGTCCACTGCTAATGGCGGTGACGCGTGAACGTTTTACTTTCTCTGCCGGTTTGCTCTTGCCAATTGATCTGCCCACGGAGAGAAAAAAAAAAGTAGTTTTGTCGCGCGAATTACTATGGGCCCTAGCGTGGTGTGGTTTCTGCGTGCGCCCCGCCCTTCCCCTTCGTGGGCGCGTCGCCTCACTCCAGCACCGCCTTCCCTGGGCTGCCCGTCGGGGGGGGGGGGGAACGTTGTGCGTTATTTCCGAACACCCCGCTCCCTGCCCCCCGCCCTTTCGCCAGCATGCGCCGTGCTTGATTTGTTTCTCCCCCGTTCTTCGCTTGTCCGTCTCTCTCTCTATCTCTCTCTCTCTGTGTGTGTGTGTGTGTGTGTTCCTGTTGGTTTTGTTTTTGTTTTTCTTTTCCTCTCCACGTTGTTGTGTTGTGTTGCGATGCGGTGCCATTTCCCCTCCGCCGCTGGGATTGCGCGCGGAGGGAGTGTGGGGGCACACACAGTTGGCTCATGGTCGTGACCGCATTTTTCTGCGGTTTTTTTTGTTTTATTTTATTCTATTATTATTATTGCTATTATCATTTTGTTGTTGTTGCGTGTGAGGGCTTCTGTGGGGCGTGGGGGGTTTCTCTCAGCGATTCCTTTTGTTGTGTCTCTACGCCTCTTCATTGTATTATTGTTGTTATAACGGCCTCAGCGGGGCGCGGAGGAAACGCGGTAGGGAGTGGCAGAGGGAGAAGGGAAGAGAAGGAGCGTAGAAGTAGGAGCGTGGGGGCGAGGGAGTTGGACCCCCCCCCCCCCAAAGGCGGCCGTACGGGCGGTGCACCACTTGCAGGGGAGAAAAGCGGAATAATAGTTCTTAAAGAAGAGAAAAGAAAACAAAAAGAGGGCCCCGTCGCGGTGACCGAGAAGCGGCACATGGGGTCGCCACCGAGCCCCACGGAGTTGGGGCAGCGTCTGGTATGCGAGCCATGGGAGTTCATCGAGACGACGCTCCCGCAGGGGGGTAATGTTGCCATCAGTGAGTCCCTCTTTTCTGTCGGCAACGGGCACGTGAGCGTGCGCGGGTACGCAGAGGAGGCTGAGGCGGCGGCGCCGTACGGCCGCAACGCAAACCAAAACCACAAAGGTGGACGTCGCTCGGAGGACAAGGGGGAGCGCGCAACGCCCGCGGAGGGTGCGCAGTCGCCGGCGCATGAGTTTCGAGGAACATACATCAACGGAGTATACGAGGAGAGACTGTTGGCACAAAATCATAGACGTTTTACCGTCGGCACCTGTGCGCGCGAGTGCTTTCTCATTCGTGTACCCGACACCTTTTGTATTGACGTCTTTGTCGGTAGTGAGCACGTTAATGCGGCGACAGGCGCCATCCTCTCGCACAGGCGCGTGTTGGACCTTCGCACAGGCGAGCTTCGTCGTCGGTTTGTGTGGCAGTCGACGAATCATGGGCGTGAGGTGACGATTGAGTCCTCCCGCTTTGTTTCCCTCTCGCGCAAAAGCATCGCCGCCTTGCGGTTGTACGTGACCGCCAAGAATGTTTCGAATACCGACATTCGCGTCGTTTCCCGCACGATGGTGACGGCGGACGTGCAAAAGCACCTGAAGCTGGAGAACATTGTCGCCCGGCACACGCTAATTGAGGCCTCGACGGCGGTGTCCGCGCGGACACGCAACAGCTGCAAGCGACTCGTGGTGGCGGCAACCGAGGCGTGCTGCACCGTCTCCATTGACCCCGGCTCCTCACCAAGGGCGAATTTTTGCGGCACGTCTTCCACAACGCCGCCTGCTTCCACACAAGGGGAAGGTTCACTGGCGGGCACCGCTCGCTTCGACCTCACTCCCCCGAGTGCACCACAGCCGCTGCCGCTGCCGCAGCCGCAGCCGCAACCGCAACCGCTGCCGCAACAACAGCAACAACAAAAATCCTTCACGATTCTTGCCCCTAAGTGTGCAGAGACAATTGAGAGCGCCGAGACGATTTATACTAGTGTCATTAGCGAGTCGACTATGCTGGAAATTACCAAATATGTTGCCTTCCTCAGCGACGAGGATGCGGCTCCAGAGGATATGTGTGATTTGGCCATTCTTAAGTCGCGGGAGGCGGCGGGGGTGACGTATGACGCCATGCTGGAAGAAAATCGGAATCTTGTGGAAAACTTTTGGGAAGTGGCAGATGTTCGCGTAAGGACGGATAATCCTTCGATGCAGGGCGCGCTTCGTTTCAATCTTTTACATCTGTACATGTCATTGTCTCGGGCCTATGTTGTGGAATCTCCGCCACGTGGGCTGATGAATGAAATTGATGCTGGTTTGCATCAGTGGGATGTGGATGCCATTGTTATTCCCTTCTTTTCGCATATACATCCAAAAACTGCGCGGGCCCTTTTGCAGTTTCGTATTGATACCCTACCACAGGCACGAAATATTGCGGCAGATATGGACCTACCACGAGGCGCGCTTTACCCATTACGCACCGTGAGCGGGGGAGAGAATTCGCCATTGCCGTTCTGTGCGGCATTTTTATACAGCAATGCCGTCATTGCGTACGCCATACGGCGCTACATCCTGGCGACCAATGACACTGCATTGCTGCTGCAGGGTGGCGCCGACGTTGTCTTTTCCACGGTACTTATCTGGCTTATATGGGGAACGTGGGACAAGGGGCAGTTCCACATTCGCTCTGTGGGAGGGCCAGACGAGTACAGTGGCCTCAGTGATAACAACCTCTTCACGAATCTTATGGCGCAAAATCACATGCAGTGGGCAGTGCAACTTGCGTTGGAGCTGCAAGAAAAACACCCGCAAGAGTGGGAAGGCCTGAAGGAGCGGTGCCAAATTACAGACGAGGATCTTCGCATGCTTGAGCGGGCTGCTTCTAAAATGGTGATTCTTTTTGATGCCAAAAATCGTGTTCACCCGGGCGACCAATTTTTTATGCGGAAGAAAAAGTGGGGATTTTGTGATGTCAAGAAGAAAAGGGGGTTTCTTATTCAAACGTTTGATCCTTCCGTGATTTACCGTCATCAGGTGTGTTGGACGCCAGATGTCGTCCTTGCCTCGGTCTTGTTGCCTGAGACGTTTACGGCAGATGAGCTGCGGGCGGACTACAGCTTCTATGAACCCATCACCAGCAACGACTCCTCCCTCAATCCCATGATTTTCAGTGTGGTGGCCTCCCAATTGGGCATGATCGATAAGGCCATGCTTCACTTTAATCGTGCTCTCTTTGTTGACATTGACAACGTGATTGATAACACGGGCCGTGGTCTGCATAGCGTGGCGGAGGCTGGGTCGTGGTGGTGCTTCGCGGCTGGTTTTGGAGGCATGCGGATCCTTCGGGGCGTGTTACACTTCAATCCAATTTTGCCGGACGAATGGGAAGAGTACCAGTTTGCTGTACGGCACAGCGGATGTCTTGTGCGTGTCCATGTGGCGCGGCGAGTGGTAACCTACAAGGTGGTCGAAGGCCTCGACGGCGACAGTAAACTGCTTATTATTCACTCAGATACAAATCGAATTCATCTGCAGCTGGGCATCCCGGCCTCCGTGCGTCTCTACCGCGACGTTCATGTGTTTGATTTTGACTGCGTTGTCTTTGACATGGATAGTATTATTCAGGACGTGGAAGACTACCACTACGAGGCTTGGAAGAAGGCCCTGGAGCCCTTTTTGCGGGAGGCTGTCGGCCACTCCTTCATGCTCACAGGGGAACTTTACCTTGCCTACCTGAAGCACGACAGGCCCCTCCCTGCGCTTCAACGGTTCCTCGCGAAGCAGGGTGTGATGGACGTGGCTCTGGGTGACCCGGAGGATTCGATGGAGCAGAACACCATTCACGGCCTCTTCAGACGGAAGCAAGGTTACTTTCGCCAGTGTGTCCGTTACCGAGGTTTGCGGCCGCGTGAGGGCATCATAGACGTCCTCTCGGAGCTTCGTCAGAGCGGTATTTCTGTCGGATGTGTCACGGTGAGCAAAAATGGGCATTGGCTGCTAAATGAGGCGTCGCAGGGGGTTTTAATGCTGGACGGATGTCTCGACGGCGGCGACGGCGAGAAGATGGGCCTGCGCTGGCGTCCGGAGATGGACTACTTTTCTTCCATGTGCAAGCAACTCAACGCCTCCCCCTCCCGCACGGTCATCGTGATGGACGGCATCGACGGCTTCTCGAAGAGCGCCCTAGAGCAGTTCAAGATGATCGTAGACGTCGCAAAGGACCCGGAGCCGGTGACCTTGTCGATCCCGTGCACGAACATTTCAAAGTTATCCGAGTTGACACTTACACTCTTGGATGAAAAGACAGCGAGCGATTACTCGATTTACGGCCGCGGCGCAACGTCCCAGCGTGGCTACCCCCGCTCTTCCAACGACATCTGGGCTAGCTTTGGGGGTGGGACTCTCAAAACATAAAAGGAAGAAAAAAACACACACACACACGCACAGAAGACGGGGGAAAAAAAAGACCGGTTACACCGGTAGTGAAAACGAATTTGTTGTGGCGGAGGGCGGCGGAAGGCAATAGGGAATAACGAGATTTTTGTTTTGCATTTATTCCCCCGTTTTTTCTGTCGTTTGAATGCAGGAAGAAATTTATTGATCTATAGTAACAGGGGAGGGCGCAAACTCCGTGGTGATTGGTTGTTTGTTCGCCATGTTCTTTTTTTTTTTTGCGTGTGTGTGTGCTTTCTCTCCTGTTGTTGGGTGGTTGCCTGTCGGCGCTGAAGGGGCGATACCACTTCCCTGCGACGGAAGTGAAGTTTCACCCACGTCATTTTGTTGGGAATTTCGTTCACTGCCCTTTTTTTTATTCTCCTTTCGATTAACGCCCCTCTCACACACACACGCACGCATGAGCACGCAAAATAAAAAAGAAGCTGCCAAGTGGAAGG